CTCTCATCGATGTTTCTAACTCTCTATCCCTCTCCCTTCCTCTCTGTAAAAAATCAATAAAATATATTAAAAAAAATAAACTCCTGAAGGAAAGGGAGCTTGTTTAAAAAAATAATAATAAAATAAAATAAATTAAGGAAGTGAAAATTTCACTCACAGAAATAAGAGTGTATCTGTTTACAGGTGGGGCTGGCTCAAAGGTCACAAATACCACAAATGTAATAAACACTAGTTTTCCTGTAAGTTCAGTAAGATTACTTTCAACTAGAAGAACAAGTTTTAGCTTTACCTGCTGAGTCAAAAAACTGAGTTGCTTATCAGAAGGCATAATGCAGATTAATAAATGCTATTAAAGAAGCAACATAAAGAAAGGTGAAGTGAGAGAACCACCACTCATCATCCTAACAACTTAACACATCTGCACAGTACCATTACCTTCTCTCCAGAGGCATAAAATGCTTACCCTGTCGCACCAATGGACTACGTTTTGACAAAATTCTTACTTTGGACGAGGCACTGAACCAGCTCCTATAAGTTGTTATATTTATAGAATTTGATGAAACACCCAGTACACACCACAAGAACAACAATTAATCATGTAATAACAAGCCCCTTTATAAAAGTACTTTACTGTGATTTGTTTTACTTCATATACATAATAAAGTGGAGCTCAGCTTCAGAGATGGTTAAATATAAACAACTATCCTATAAATAAACGCAATTTAGCATTATGTCAAAAGCCCTAAAATGTGCATACAAAGGATGTTTAAGTATTACTTATAAGGGCAAAAGAAGTTAATCCTCAATTGAGACTATTTTTTCAAAGAGGGCGAAAGGGAGGGAGGGAGGAAGGGAGGAGAAAGAGAGAGAGAAACAAGGATGTGAGAGACACACATCAATTGGTTGCCTCCCAACCAGGGTTGGAAATTGAACCTGCCACCCAGGTATGTGCGCTTGACTGGGAATTGAACCCGTGACCCTTAGGTGCATGGGCCGTTGTTCTAATCACTGAGAATACTGGCCAGAGCAGTTGGTAAATATTTTTAATATAGATATATACTGATATTTTCATAATACAGTAGTGAAAAACAATACCAAGTGATCCCCCTTTTATAAGTGTATATGAAACCTAATTGTGTACTGTGAATGTCATGCTTCCATTCTTTAACTGTTGAATTAATATAGCACAAGACTGGACTGACTTAAATGTTAGTTATCAGTTCCCCCAAAGTATCCTTCAAGTTATTTCTGTCCTGAAAGAAAAGATACTTAACATAATGGCCACCAAGTCTGTCAGCTGCATTCCCATGCAGGATCCACCTTCCTGCTGAATCTCAGTGTTTTGTCACCACTGAGCATAAAGACACAGACAGAAACCTTCCCACTGCTCATTCCTCTTGGGAATGCTAATGTCAGAACCAAAGGAATGACTGCACAGGCTCCCAAAGCTTCCAAACCTTGGGAAAGAATGGCCTGTTCCTTTACTCAGAAGTTCTCAGAGCTGCCAATGGATGAAAATAGATGCTAAGCAAAGAGCAAGGGTTTGAACTAGCAGCCTCAACGTTCCAGTTCAACCAGCCAAAAGTGCCCTGTTACACATATATTTGCCAAGAAAAGGCCCGGAAGGGTTTACACCAAGTTAGTCAACAGTGGTTATCTTTTAGTATTCTTGACGTTTTTCCTTTTCTTTTTTCTTCTTTGTGAATTTTCTTCAATGAACAGGATTTGTTTTTGAGGCAAAAAAAACAAACAAACACAAAACCATACAATTTTTTCAGTTAGAGATGAAATATTTAAGTAGAAATACATTACTGAGGACCATTTTCTTAAAGAACAAACCAAGAGTAATTTCTGACAAATATGCCCAGTCATCTGGCCTCTAATTCTGCCCTCAATGCCAAGCCTCCTCCTGTCCCATCGTTACTTACATTCTTGGAGACATTCTGTGTCTGTGCAGTAGGACTGGGACTGCCTCAACTACAATGAATAAGAAGAAAGGAAAGTTAGCCGTTGGACTTCATCAAAAATGGATACTATTCATTAGAATGGTCATGTTTTGTTTTTTAATGAATGCTACCACAGTGTATATCGTATCTTCAAAATCAGATATAAATGCAGAACACATTGAGGGGCTGTTCTGTTTGGGGGGATTTTTCCTACTTAAAGTAATTTTCAAATATACTGTGATCTACCACAATTCACCTATTTAAGTTAAGGAATTAGAAAATGCACACCTATGACAGGAACTCCTGCTCCCATATGTCATTAGACTTCCCAAAGAGTTACAGGAGAGGAGAGGGGCTTATTTCTCCTGGTTGTCACTGAGGGTGGGATTCTTATGATATCCTGAGAAAAGGAATTTTTTGAGACTCTCACAGGAGAATGAAATGATTTTTATTTGTGCAGAATTAAATTTCTGAGTTTTCAAAGTCCCATTTCCCTGTCATGTGGTACTGGTCCACAGTAACTAAATTTTACTTCAATGTTCATTTAAATTGAGTTTGCTTCACCTTAAAAAATTTTAACCCCACTCCAAAACAAAAACAACAACAACAAAAACACACATAAATGAGAAAGAATGAATTCATGGCCTCAGGAGGTCTGATTAAATGGTTATATTTAAAACTTGGTTACCCATGGATGAAACATTTTACTTTTATGGACTAGATTCAGGAAAGGGGGGGAAAGTCCTGCCTGTTTGTGCAAATAAACCTGCTCAAAATTATCACTAATATTTTCTTAAACCAAACTCCAAAACCAACAACAAAAAAGTTCTTTCAAATCAATGAATAAGTGCCCAGTCAATGTCCTCTCTGACCAGACCTCACACAGCTCACAGTCATAACGTTGGTATGAAAATATCTGAGTGTAAGACTCGTATGGCTTTCCTCAAAACATACATACAGAAAAGTATCCATTTATCTGACAAATATATATTTTAAATTTTTTGAAAAGTTGATTTGAGAGAGAGAGAGAGAGAGAGAGAGAGAGAAAAGGGAGAGAAACATCAACTTGTTGTTCCACTTATTTATGCATTCATTGGTTGATTCTCGTATGTGTTCTAAACAGTCACTGAACCCACAACCTCGGTGCATTGGACAACGCTCTAACCAACTAAGCTACCCAGCCGGGGCCTATCTGAAAAAAATTTAACAAGTGCCTTTTATGTGCATTTTGTTAAAATAAGGTTTTCAGATTTTAAAAGTCTATTTGCTATTTGTTTTCAAATTCCTCAGGAATTCATGTCAACTTTATTTGCAACAACTCAATTCACTGCCAGCTTAAAATCAAGCTATTTTTTTAAAATATATTTCTTTATTGATTTCAGAGAGGAAGGGAGAAGGAGAGAGATAGAAACATCAATGATGAGAGAGAATCACTGATCGGCTGCCTCCTGCACACCCCACACCGGGGATGGAGCCCGCAACCCAGGCATGTGCCCTTGGCCGGAATCGAACCTGGGACCCTTCAGTCCGCAGGCTGACGCTCTATCCACTGAGCCAAGCCGGCTAGGGCAAAATCAAGCTATTTTTGAAAATGAAGATGGAAAATAGATGTGCCCAGTTTAAAATATTCTAAATCAAGCATGTCAAACTCACAGCACAAATATTTTTGTGGCCCAGCCAATATAATAGTATGTAAGAAACATTTTAATAAAAATTTCGTAGCTTAATTTTTACAATATCCTGAAATACATAATTATTAATAACGAACTACAACGTTTGCTAATGACTGATTACTATAATCGTGCTGCATTAATTTCCCTTACGTACTGGCGCACCATTTCTCTACACTAATACTAGCAGCGAATATTTTAGCAGCTGATTGCCAAATAAACAATTGTCATTAGTCTTGTACTGACTTGTTTGGTGTGTACAACAGGAAATATTTCACTTTCAGAGACAAGAAAAATAGGTTTATTTGTGTTACGCTTATTAACTTGTGCAATTATTCAGTGTCTGGTAAGTTAATGTTCAAGAAAAAATATTAGTTTTTATTAAAATGTTCTATTGTTTTATGTTAACGATTACTCATTTATTTCAGCCCTTTGTATTCAGAATGTCTCTATCAAAATAAACCTACGTTTCTATGAAAATTGAAGCTTTTGTTTTTTTGTGGCCCACATAAACTTAAACCTTGTTTATTTGGCCCGTCTTAGCCTTTGAGTTTGACATGCTTGTTCAAAATGGTCATCAATGTCAGGTCATGGATTTCAATTTGGGATTTAGGAAACATAGCCATATAAATAGACTCTACATTATGGATTTGAAGATGTGGTAGAGAATCTCACATAGAAAATAAAAACATAAAGTCTCTTAAAACAAACAAACAAACAAAACAGGCCAGCCGGAGTGGCTCAGTAGTTGAGAATTGACCAATGAACCAGGAGGTCACAGTTCAATTCCCAGCAAGGCACATGCGGGATTGTGGACTTAATCCCTAATAGAGGGCATGTAGGAGGCAGCAATCGATGATTCTCATCATTGATGTTTCTATCTCTCTCTCCGTCTCCCTTCCAATCTCTGAAATAAATAAAAACATATTAAAACAGTGACTTTTAAAAATTTTCCTACATTCCGATGTTGCTCAGTATGTTCTAGTAGTTAGTCGGAATAGAGCAGTAAGCAAAATACACAAAATCCCACCATCCAATAACCATTTTGTTAACATTTTGGTTAAATGTGTTCCAGACATACATTTTTGTAATATATATATGCATGTACACATAATTTTATAAAATAGAACACTTCATGTTATTTTGCTACCTTTTTGCCATACTCAACAACTAGTTGCAAATCTTTTAATGCCCAAACCCAATTCTATATAACTTTTAATGCTGCGCAGTATTCCATTTAATTGCATCATTCCCAAATTTGTATATGAAAACAATGCTGCCCAGCTGGCGTGGCTCAGTGGTTACAGTTCAATTCCTGGTCAGGGCACATGTCCCGGTTCTGGGCTCCATACCCAGTGGGGGGCGTGCAGGAGGCAGCTGAGCAATGATTCTCTCTCATCATTGATGTTTCTCTCTCTCTCTGATGTTTCTTTCTCTCTCTCTCTCTCTCTCTCTCTCTCTCTCTCTCTCTCTCTCTCTCTCCCACACACACACACACCCCCCTTCTGACAAAAGAAAAACAATGCTATGGTGAATGTTCCTATAAATACATTCCTGCATACTTCATCTTTTTAGGATAAGGCATATAAAAATTACTAGAATACTAAAGGTATGTGCATTTTAAGTTTTGATACACTTTCCCCAATTACAGGTTAATTTTATTTTTACTTTTTGATTAATCCTCACCCAAGGATATTTTTCCACTCATTTTTAGAGAGAGTGGAAGGGAGAGGAAGAGACAGAGAGAAACATCAATGTGAGAGAGATACATCAAATTGATTGCCTCCTGCACACACCCCAACCAGGGCCAGGGAACCTGTAACCGAGGTACGTGCCCTTTACCGGAATCGAACCTGGGACCCTACAGTCCCCAGGCTGATACTCTATCCACTGAACCAAACTGGCTAGGACAACAGGAGGGGAATTTTTTTTGTCCTGCCCCCCAGTGCAAGAATTTTTGTACACGGGCCTCTAGTATGTTATAATACATCATATTATAATATTATGTGATATTCATTATGTTATTTATAATTCATATATTATACATACATATTATACTATACAATAATATAAATATGATATTAAAATGTGTATTTCTCTCACACACACACACAAAAAATCAGGCTGCTCTACGTGTGCCACTCATGACAGAAGCCCTTTTTTTAGGAGGGGAATTTTAAAGAAATGACAAAGTACATTCAATTCAAGTATTTCTGCATAATCACACCACTGCAGAAGTTCAGTGTTTCAACTGGGAGATCAGCTAAAACCTAATATTTCTTTCTTTTTTTTTTTAAAAATATATTTTATTGACTTTTTACAGAGAGGAAGGGAGAGGGATAGTTAGAAATATCGATGAGAGAGAAACATTGATCAGCTGCCTCCTGCACACCCCCTACTGGGGATGTGCCCGCAGCCAAGGTACATGCCCTTGACCGGAATCGAACCCAGGACCTTTCAGTCCGCAGGCCGACGCTCTGTTCACTGAGCCAAACCGGTTAGGGCAGCTAAAACCTAATATTTCTGAGCACATTTAGTCCTTAATGATTAAGCAGCATCTCTACATATTTTCCTACAACATTAACAAACATAATTTTGATGGACCACAATAATCACATTTAAGCCTCAAGGCTTCAAATAATCAGGTAAAGGCAAGACTGAATATTTTGAAAATATTTTTTAAATGTCTAACACTAATAGGCTGGGCTGCTTTGACCATATGACATGCACATACTTTCCCTAATCCTACAAAATACTATCTGAATTTGAGTTAATTAACTGAACCAAAAATCATCACACAATTTATGGGCACTGGTAAGATAATAGTACAATTTATATACTACACCCATATGGTACAGTTTGTTTTTATTATATATAAAGACATATACATAAATACATAGGTATATGAAAGTCCACAAACTTAATGCAACCTCCAGCCAAGCAAGCAATTGAGGTCATGAGGTGGGATGGAGGGAGGGGGTGTGGGCAATAGGGAGAGGGACTTTGATATTTTGCTCTATATTTCTGTATCGCTTCATGTGATAATAATTTAGATATTCACCTATTTTATGTGTTATTAAAAAGAAAGGCCAAAAAAAAGACACACATACATAAAAAAATGAGCCTGACTTTGATTTGCTGTTTTGGACTGAATGTGTGGTCTCCTCAAAATTTGTATGTTGAAATCCTCACCCCCTATTGGGAGATGGGAACTTTCAGTGGTGATTAGGTCATGAGGGTGGAGCCATCATGAGTGGGATTAGTGGTTTTATAAAAGAGCCCCCAGAATGCTCTCTCACCCTCTTCCCACCAACTGAGGATGCAACAAGAAAGTGTCCCGGAAGAGGGTTCTCACCAGAACCCAACCAGGCTGGCACCCTGATATTGGATTTCCAGCCCAGAACTATGAGAAATACATTTCTGTTTATAATCAGCCTGAACTAAGATATTGCTAATATACAAAGATATATGAAGTGGGGGGGGGGGAGTTGTAGAAATGTATACATACTATAATCTCTCCTATGTAAAACAATTTTCTAGAAAGATATACATGGCAGGTTATATTTTCTAAAAATAGCCATAGCACTATTACCAGTCACACAGTCTTCCAGAATCTTGCTACTCCCCATCAAGAAATGAAGTCTATTTCCCCTGCTCTTGAACCCAAGAGCAAGCTTGTGACTGTTACAACCATGAGTTTAGCAGAAGTGTTGTATGTATGTGACTTAGGCTACATCATAACAAGTTGCCAGCTGCAGCCTGGTTCTCTTCCTCCCCAATCCTCTTCGGAACAAAGCCACAATGCTGTGATGAAGCCACACAGCCACTTGAAAGGACCATATGTAGGTGTTCTTGCTGACAGTACTAGGTAGGGTTTCAGCCGCCCATCAGCATCAACTGCCAGACAGTGAGTGAGCAAAAGCCTCCAGATGTTTCCGGCTCCCAGCCTGAGTCTTCCAGCTAAGAATCCAGATGCTGTACAACAGATAAACCACCTCCATTGCGCTCTGTATGAACTCCTGACACACAGTTTGTGAACTCCATAAAAGGTAGTTTTATGCCATTAAGTTTTGGGATACTTTTTTATATAGCCATAATAACTGGAACAATATAAAAGAAACTGTTAATAGGTCAAATTTGATAAAGTGGCAATAAGGAGTTGGGGAACTCAGGTAGACTTTTTGTCTTTCCCTTTCTACATTTAGCACTGTGTGAATTTTGTGCCATGAGGACACACAATAGTTATCCTATCTAATAATAGACAAACATGGTAATTGACCGTACCTTTGCTACGCCTCCCATTGGCTAATCAGCGTGATATGCAAATTAACCACCAACAAAGATGGCGGCTAATTTGCATACTGCAGGCAGGGTGGGACAGCACCATCCCGCCTGCCCTGCCGCCATCCGGGCCTGCTATCTGCAACCCGTGTGCGACCCAACCTGGGGCAGCCGGGCGGGGCAGCAGCGATTCGCCGGCCCACCCGGGCGTCCCGTGTGCGACCCGACACAGAGCAGCGGGGCGGGACAGCGTGGCTCCTATGTCACCCCAGCTTCCTCATCACAGCTCCCTTGGGGGCCTAAGCCTTTAGTCGGCATCCCCTGAGGGCTCCCTGGCTGCCAGAAGGAGTGGGCCTAAGTCGACAGGTGGACATCCCCAAGGGGTCCTGGACTGCAAATGGGCGCAGGCCGGGCTGAGGGACCCCCCCCCCGAGTGCACAAATTTTTGTGCACCGGGCCTCTAGTCTTTTAAATAAAACAAACTCTACTGCAGGAAGAGTATCTAGTCTTCCATTGCCTGGATGACAGTGATTAAAAACATTAAGATTTAAGAAAGAAGTCTGTAGGGAGCAGCTATAGGGTTAAGCCTTGGCAAAGCCACAAACAAGTCACAGCTTAGAGGGCACAGCCCTCTTAGCATAATTAGGCTTGACCTTATGAGCTCCCTAGATCTTACCTGGATAGCTAATGGGCTGAGGGAGATGCAGCAAGTGCTGCCAAAACAAGTGAAACTCACAAGAACATTGTAACTATGGTGACCACTACCTTGTTTACCTCTGGCTATAAAATAAAGGCTCAGCTTGCTGTCTGGATCTCTCTTTGTGGCCTCAGCCAGGCACTAGACCCAGCTTATTCTCTTTGTCTGTCTTTTCTACATCCTTTGCTGCGCCCCCTCCCGACGCCCCCAGGCTTACCGAACCCTTGGCTGTGCTGGCACGGCTCCAAAGTCCAATAAAATTTCCTTTACTGACTAAAATAAAGACTGTAAGTTGATCATATGATTAAAAAGACTTTGTAGCAACATGGAAAATGCTAAATACTATTATTGAGTTGGGGGAAAGTATACAAATATATATTTGTTAGAAAGATCTGGGAAAATGCATACCAAATTCATCTAGAGAAGCAGGAAATAAGCCAATTTGGAGAAGTGACAGAGGAGTTGTCTTACTTTTAATAGATTGGTTGCTTTTTGTCAAAAGAGCATATTCATATATGGTTTATATCAATTATTATATTTTACAAAAATTAAAATATAGTAGTAGTAGATATATTTGCTAGATAGAGAGGTTTCTTAAGATTTTCAGGCCCACATCTTCTTCCAGGTAAAAGCCAATAGGTCTTTAATATGACTTCTTTAAGTACAGAAAACATTAGTCACAATTCACAGGGCTGTCAGGCCATATAGAGTAATCTGTCCAAGGATCTCCCAGATCACATGCTTATAGTACTTTAATACGGAAACAAATTTAAGTAAATTAAAGATGTAGAAGTTTAAATTACACTATTTAGATTAGAGCTGAAATAAAGCTCAAAACAAACAAGCAAAAATAAAAAAAGGATTATCTGCATTCCAAATCTTAGATTACAACAGAGAATAGGAAAAACAGAGCATAATTCAAGTTCACACATTTCTAAATCCATCAGTTCTCTCTTTCTGAAACACCTATCATTATAGAAGAAACTATATACCAAGAGACAGCCAGTCAGGAAAACATGAGAAGGAGGTGGTGGCAAGGGAGTAGGAAAGGATGAAGCCAGAATAAGTTTACAAATGGCTTCAATGGAAATGGGGGAAAAAAAAAAAAAAAGCCCCTCTCCAGGCAGTTTGTATGGTTTAAGGAAATATGAATATTTTAAAACAACAAAAAAAAACTAGCCCAATTGGCATGGCTCAGTGGTTGAATATGAACCAGGAGGTCATGGTTCAATTCCCTGTCAGGGCACATGCCCGGGTTGCAGTCTCCATCCCCAGCATGGGGCGTGCAGGAGGCAGCCGATCAATGATTCTCTCTCATCACTGATGTTTCTATCTCTCTCTCTTCCTCTCTGAAATAATTTTTAAAAAAATAAAAATAAATAAAAAACCCAAAACTAGATACAGTAATTATAAATACCTCTTTTTTTTGAAAAACAAAAAAGAGTACTGACTTCAGATGGGGGACAAAAAATACTAGACAACATAAAAGAATAACTTATAATTAGATTATGGTTTTATGTTGGCATCTTACTACATATTCTACATCACTGAATATCCTTATTTTTATCACTACGTATATTCCCATATTAAGTCAAGTAATAAAACACAGAATTATATGTAACATGACAAATACCTAATTTTAATTGAGACAGACTTACTATATATTCATATCTACCTCCTTTGAGTCCTATTAGGCAGTATTTGAAGAGTATCAGACTAAGAAAAATATCTGTAATGTCAGATAATACCTCCATTTTTTTTAAATTTTTTTTTTTATTGATTTTTTACAGAGAGGAAGGGAGAGGGATAGAGAGTTAGAAACATCAATGAGAGAGAAACATCGATCAGCCGCCTCCTGCACGCCCCCTACTGGGGATGTGCCTGCAACCAAGGTACATGCCCTTGACCAGAATCGAACCTGGGACCCTTCAGTCCGCAGGCCGACGCTCTATCCACTGAGCCAAACCGGTCAGGGCTATACCTCCATTTTTTTTAACATATTTTTTTTATTGATTTCAGAGAGGAAGGGAGAGGGAGAGAGAGATAGAAACATCAATGATGAGAAAGAATCATCGATTGGCTGCCTCCTGCATACCCCACACTAGGGATTGGGGCCGCAACCGGGGCATGTGCCCTGACCGGGAATTGAACCATGACCTCCTGGTTCATAGGTTGATGCTCAACCACTGAGCCATGCCGGCTGGGCAATACCTCCACTTTTAATGTTTTTGGACATTCCTGAGACAAACAGAAACATACATGCACCCAGCAAAATACTACTGCATTAAGAACAGTCTAACACTTGTGTAACTCAGTGATATAATTAAATCACAGGAAGGAGACATGCCAAGAGAGTAAGTAAAGCTTTGTCACCAGCACCCCAAATTGGGCATTTTTTGTACTGCAGTGTTATCAACCTTGAACTTAAATGCTGTTTATAATGTATCATTTTAAAACATTCCTATAAATATAATCAGAGATACAATCATTTACTTGAAAGTCCATATTCCAGATAGACAATACAATGAATGAAAATCAGATTATATTCTTTGTTCTGGTACAACTCACTTTAAGTAATCAAAACGTATATAAGTACTGATGAGGCAGTAGAGAAGAGTCTGAATTGCTATTTGTATCACTGAGCCTTAGGAGACATACACATTTTTTCTATTTTTATATGTATGTTTTACATTCTGATGAGAAAAAATTCTACCAGTTTAGAAATTAAAAGAAGGTCAAAGAAGAGAAGAAAATCTTATTAGAATTATTGAAAAGCCAAACATTGTAAAATATAGTATTTTCTTTTCAAATCACCTAAGAGTACATTCAAGAATTTTATTCTCCAGTGGAAAAAGTCTGTAATTACAAATTTTTGTATATAACTGTACTGCTTTTAATACCTTTGAAGGTGCTTACAGTTTTCTTTTTAAATTAATTATTTGAATAGACAATACATTCACACAGCCTTTTGTTTTGTTTTGCAGGTTTTTTTTGTTTTTGTTAAACCTCATCCAAGGATATTTTTCCCTGGATTTTTAGAAAGTGGAAGGGTAGGGGAGAAACATCCATGTGATAGAAACATTGATTGGTTGCCTCCTACATGCACCCTGACCAGAGCCAGGAATTGAGCTTGCCACTGAGGTATGTGCCCTTAACCAGAATCAAATGCAGGACCCTTCAATCCGCAGTCCAAAGCTCTATCCACTGAGTCAAACCGGCTAGGGCAGTGGTCAGCAAACTCATTAGTCAACAGAGCCAAATATCAACAGTACAATGATTGAAATTTCTTTTGAGAGCCAAATTTTTTAAACTTAAACTATATAGGTAGGTACGTTGTTATTAACTTAATTAGGGTACTCCTAAGGCTTAGGAAGAGCCACACTCAAGGGGCCAAAGAGCCACATGTGGCTCGCGAGCTGCAGTTTGCCGACCAGGGGCTAGGGCATATTCACAACTTTTTAAACATCCTATATAATAAAAGCCTAATATACTAACTGTCTGGTCGTCCAATCAATCAAAGCGTAATATGCTAATGATATGCTAAGGCCATTCAACCGCTCGCTATAATGTGCATTGACCACCAGGGGGCAGACAGTTGACCAGTCAACCAGTCGTTATGACGTGCACTGACCAGCAGGGGGCAGATGCTCCGACTGGTAGGTTAGCTTGCTGCTGGAGTCTGGCTGATTGGGACTGAGCGAGAAGGGCCGGATACACCCTGGAGCCTTCCTGTAGGTCCCTCCCCAGCTGGCCAACCACCCATGCTCCTCCCTGGCCCCAATCATGCACTGGTGGGGTCCCTCGGCCTGGCCTGCATCCTCCTGCAATCCAGGACCCCTCGGGGGATGTTGGAGAGCCGGTTTTGGCCCAATCCCGCAGGCCAGGCCAAGGGAACCCACTGGTGCACGAACTCATGCACTGGGCCTCTAGTAAAAATACAATGAAGAGTCTTTCTCCTCCTACTTTCTCCTATCCTTCCACTGCCCCTTTGGTTTTTCTTTTTTTCTTTTCTCTTCTCTTTCTTTCTTTTTTTACATCCCAGGACTTATTTACTTATTTTTAAATTTATCTTTGTTGTTGAAAGTATTACAGATGTTCCCCCCTTTTTTCCCCTATTGACCCTCTCCTCCCCACTCCCACCCCCACACCAGGCTTTCATGGCACTGTTGTCTGTGTCCATGGGTTATGCACATATTGATTTCAAATATAGTGCTTTTTAAATGCCTGAAGGAGATCAACAGGCAGTGGAGCAGAGCATGGTACTAAAGAAGCAGGGCAGGGCCTGGAGCTAAGCTGTCAGATTGTGCATCCCCTGCCACCCTCTAGTCAACTCCAACACCTGGGAAAAGTGACTTAACCTCTCTTATCTCAGTTTCCTCATTTGTGAAAGGAAAACCTACATTAGATGCTTTCTATGGACTTAAAATAGTACCCAACTTCCTTCAAACTCTCCCCAATGTAACTGTTAGGAGTCTGAGGTATATCCCTTGGAACCGCTTCTATGCACTTACAAACATATACTGACCTGCACACCTCTCTCTCTAACCTGCAAAGGCATCCCTATGGCTTTCACTAGCATTTCTCAGATACTTCTAAAACACTTCTTTTTGTATTTCTAGTAGTTTTTGCATTCTCTGTTGTTCAGGACATAACAACAGAGTTGATGAACTGGGTTCTTTTGGTCAATATACTAGTAATTCCCGTGTCCCATTTCATTGTTTTGGCTTTGAATTATGTTTTGTCTGAGATTTAGAGTATCACATTCTTTTGAGACAGCTTTTCCCCACTCCTTTATCATTTATCAAAAATAGATCATTTTGGCTGCTGTAGTGAGACTGAACCTGAGGAGAGTCAGGTATGGCAAGAGGAGACCTATAAGAAGGCCAATTTCAATAATCCAGGCAAGAGATGATTATAGATTAGACCAGGATGTTGCACTGAAGGTGTGAGAAATGGCTGGATTCTGGATATATTTTTAAGGATATGTTTTGAGCTTAAAGGATTTGTTTCTGCATTAGCTATGGGGTTGGAAGAGTAAAAGATGACCTAAAAGTTGTTCCTAATATCACAGTAACTAGAAAAAATGTTTGCCTTATATTTGAATTTAGAAATAAAAATTATCAGCTCTTTAACTTCATGAATACACAGGAGAAAATATTTTTTAAAATATTCTTTCCTCAGACTCATCTATTTTTATATCAAGTTATCACAGATATGACATTGCCATTATATTTCTATATCCACAAGAGTAAGATTTAATTTATAAGTTCTTAGTTTATTGCTTTCCCTCTAATGCATTCTTGAGGATCATATGTCTTAATATATGCTGATTCTAAAAGAAATATCATTTACAAGAAATACACTTCTGATCACTATATATAGATACCGAGTCAGCAGAAAACCTTATTAACTACCAACAATTCAAATATTTGAGCAAATGTTGGTGCCTGCCTTTAACTGGCCAATGACAATATACCTCTGTACAAGAGTATTCTAAAACAACAAAATGTTATAATGTATAACATAACAATATGCTTTATTGTTAATAATGGTTAACTTTCTCCTTTTGTACATAAAAAGTATAATGCATAAATAGCCCCATATTTAAGCTTATAGGTTAGGGAAATCTTAAAAACACCACAATTCAAACCTCCTTCAAAGTCTATAGACTACTATCCAAACAAAGTATGTTGGTCAGAAATCTGCCTCTGTTAAATAATTTGGATTTTGAAATGCTTTACATAGAGATTTTTATTGGCATGCCATTTGAAGGAGTAGGATTTGAACTATATCATTAACAGAAACTGACTTCACAGCAATTTATCAGGTAAACAAGCTCCATATAGCTAATAACTATAGGCAGAATGTTACCCAACAATGATGGGGAATTTCACTAACATAAATAAAGAAATTTGTTTTTATCTTTAATAAAATAATTGCTGGTAAGTATTTTAACCATAACTTAAACCACTGTGGAATTTCAATTAGGAAATAATTTTAGTGACCATCAGATGAAAATCTTTCCATAACATTTTCACAAAAACAGAGCAGAAGCAGTACAGTTCAGTTCTGAATAGGACTGTCCTGTTCATCTCACCAGATTGATCAGCCTTCTCATCGCATGCTCATGAGAGCAAACACATTCACAGGGATCGAATCCTCCTTCTGCCATGATTACCCAGCTTGATTTAACTTGACTGTTTAAATCTAGGAGAAAGGAAAAAATATTGTAAGACTACCATTCAGAGTTATTTTTCTCTTGAGCTATGAAAATTTCATATATTGTACAATTCAAAATAGTCCTTTTTAGTTCATATTTATTAATAACCTATATCTATGAATTTAGTACTAATATTATATGAATTTTATGCCAGATAGCTTACTCGGTTAGAATGTCATCCCGATACACCATGATTATGGGTTCAAATCTTGGTCAGGGCACATACGAGAATCAATGAATGCATAAATAAGTGGAAAAACAAATAGAAGTTTCTCTCTCAAATCAATAAATAAGGGGAAAAATTTTAATGGTAATGCTAAGTGTTCATCCCCGTGGTTCTGATTAAATAAATGATAGTGTAAGTACATCCTTTACAGCTGCTGAAAAGTATGAGGCAGATTTCTATGTGATGATTTGGGGAAATACCAAGTTAATACTGAGATGAAATCCAGTTGTAGAACAAGCAGGGCAACCTACTTCCCATCTGTTTTCTGAAGTAAGGGGAGGTAGGGATTGAAAGGGTAAGTGGCGTTAGAGACAACCTGAGCTGAACAGCCTAACTCTCCAGAAGTAGGAAACACCAAATATCAATTCTGACTACTTCCTAGTTCTGCCTGAGGCCACTCTGTGTCCACACCTTTCTTTGAAAATTGATTAGCCTTCATGTTAGAGAACTGACTATATATATCCAACACAGAAAACCCTGAAAGTAAATATAATCCACCCTTATACATAAAGTTACCCTTGAAAGCCTGTTTCTCAACTGTCTTTTCAAATTGTCCATAAGGAAAAAAAAGGGCTCAGACTGCTGGTGTGATATAAGCAAGTGTCCACTTACAAATACTGGTCCTTCCTTCCTCCCTATCTGTGCCTCCCTAGGCCAATAAAATGTCAGTTAAAATGAAAGGATATTTTACTAAGATTTTTAAAAATGAAATTCAAATACTAAAGAGTTTAATACCGCCCTAGCCGGTTTGGCTCAGTGGATAGAGTGTCGGCCTGAGGACTGAAGGGTCCCAGGTTCAAATCTGGTCAAGGGCACATGGCCGGGTTGCGGGCTCAACCCCCGGTTGAGGGTGTACAGGAGGCAGCTGATCAATGATTCTCTCTCATCATTGATGTTTCTATCTCTCCCTCTCCCTTTCTCTCTGAAATCAATAAAAATTTAAAAATAAATAAATAAATAAAGGGCTTAATACCTATCCAGTTCTGGAGCCTCTAAACACAGAAATGCTAAGAAAGTACAGTAGGTCCTCCAGTAACAGTTTTGTTATGATGTTGAGAAGAAAAAAATTGATCCCCAGCAGGGCCCACTGTCTGTCTGGAGTCTGCAACTTCTCCCCATGTCTCCATAGGTTTCCTCCCACATCCCACCGATGTGCATGTCATGTGAACTGGAGTGTCTACATTTTCCCAGTCTGAGTGTGTGTGTGTGTGTGTGTGTGTGTGTGTCCGTCCCTGAGATGGAAGGGTGTCCTGTCCAGGGTGGGTTCCAGCCTTGCACCCTGAGCTGTGGGGAGAGGCTCTGGACACACACCATCCTGAAGTGGAATAAGCGGGCTAGAAACTAAAATTATCTTATTTGTTTTTATTCATCTTTCTTTTTTTAAAAAAGTCTATTTTTATTGATATCAGAGAGGAAGAGAGAGGGAAAGAGAATCCATCATAGAAACATCAATGATGAGAGAGAATCATTGATCGGCTACCTCCTGTACACCCCCTACTGGGGACCTAGCCATGTGCCCTTGACTAGAATCGAACCCAGGACCCTTCAGTCCACAGGCCGACGCTCTATCCACTAAGCCAAACCAGCCAGGGCTATTCATCTTTCTTAAATGTCTGTATAGCTCACATTTATTTCAATGTTTACTAATAGAAGTGTTTTGGGTCTTTATATAGTAGTTTGGTCATGTTTCTGTGACCAGAAATATGCCATAGGAACTTAACTCTTATTTATATGTTAGCCTATGGTAAAATTGGTTTCTTATACATCACTTCGCTGACAGGCACAGTTTCCAAGAACCCATCAATGATATTAAGTGAGGAATTACTGTACTAGCAAACTGACTTTTATAAAGAAAGGGAGACGTGTTTTTATCACCCATTTAAAAAAAATTTATTTTAAACCCACACAGTTTAAGGGCAGGAACCCATCTTAGTCATCAGTCTGTCTGTAAACACCTCCCTCATTGAGTAAGCCACAGGGATGAATAAATATTTACTGACTTTTGCCAAGGTTTACTTTCTCTGTGTCTATATATGCCAGGAGCACATAAATCAACTAGAATTTTAAAGTATACATAAGTTTTAATTAGCCTCTCCAGTAAAATAAGAAAAAAATATTCATAAATAGGACATTCCTCAATAGTGTTACTCTTCTATGGAATTTTCTTCATGTAAATTTGAGCTGTTTTAAGTATTATTCAGTTTTCAGTTAAGAGTATCCACTTAATAGTACTTGTTTTTAAAAAAAATAGAATGGAAACAGTTCTTTTGGCTAGGACCTCAGCACACCAGCAGCTAAGCAAAAAACTTAACCAATCCCACCCCACATTTAAATCCCTTGATGTCCAGAGACATTAAGAAGCTACTCCTTAAAAAAAAAAGAGAGAGAGAAAAAAAAAAAAAAAAGAAGCTACTCCATCCAGGGCAAGACCGAACTGAGTTACTCAATCAGAATCCCAGTAAATCAGCCTAGAAGAGGCCTTGGACAGAAAGTAATCTAAAACAATGCTTTTGCCCTGGCCTGTGTGGCTCAGTTGGTAAGTACAGAAGACAGACAATCGATGTTTCTCTCTCACGCACAGGAGGCAGCTGACTAATGTTTCTCTCTCATATCAGTATTTCTCTCCCTCTCCCTTCCTCTCTCTCTAAAATTAATAAAAAACATTTAAATAAATAAATAAATAAATAAATAAATAAATAAATAAATAAATAATTGAATGCATGCAATGCTTTTGCCTTTCACATTTCAGAGGAGTGTTCACCTCCCTAACATATATCCCTAATGTAAGAACAATCCTACATAATAAAAGGCTAATATGCAAATAGACCAAGCGCCCAACAACCAAACAACCAGTCGCTATGATGTGCGCTGACCACCACGGGGCGCGAGTGGAACATGGTGGGCATCAGCAGCAGGTGGCAAAGCGTGGAACATGGTGGGTGTTGGCCGCGGCGTGATGGTGGAGCAGGTGAGCGGGGGCGCCAGACCAAGCCGGAGCACTGGTCGCTGTCATCGAGGCAAGCCTCTGGTGGTTACTGAAAATTCTTTGCTCCTGCGCACTGCGGATCCGCCTGGCGCTCACACCTGCTGCCGGCACTGGCCCCTCTCGCACTCACTGCCGGTGCCGGAGCCACTGCTTGCACCCGCTGCCGGCACCTGGCGCCGGCCCTGATCACTTGGCACCATCAGCGGGTGGGAGCAGTAGCTGCTGGCCCCCATCGCCCCTCAGGGCTTCTCCACCTCCCCCTGGTCCTGAGGGGCGATTGGGGCCAGCAGCTGCCTCTCACACCCACTGCCGGCAACGGTCCCACTCACACCCATTGCCAGTGCTGGCCCCGCTCACACCCGCAGCCGGTGCTGGAGCCACCTCTCACACCTGCTGCCGGCACCCGGCACTGGTCCTGCTCACTCGGCACAGTGAGCGGCGGCTGCTGGCCCCGATCGCCCCTGAGGGCTTCTCCACCTCCCCTTGCTCCTGAGGGGCAATCGGG